CGTAAGCGTACGCGTAATGTCGGTCTGGGCCGCTTCATCCAACAATACCGCTGAACCAAAGTATGACATGCTGGTAAGCAGTATGACTTGTATCACCCACAACTCACTTGTGTTCTACTCGTGCATATAACATCAACGCATAAAACATAGGCTCGGATGCCACTGTTGGGGAACGTAGTAATTTCAAAAAAATTCCTACGCACACGTAAGATCATGGTGATGCATAGCAACGAGAGGGGAGAGTGTGTCCACGTACCCTCGTAGACAGAAAGCGGAAGCATTATGACAACGCGGTCGATGTAGTCGTACGTCTTCACGATCCGACCGATCCAAGTACCCAACGTCTGACACCTCCGAGTTCAGCACACGTTCAGCTCAATGACGATCCCCGGACTCCGATCCAGCAGGGTGTCGGGGATGAGTTCCCTCAGCACGACGGCGTGGTGACGATGATGATGTCTTACCAACACAGGGCTTCGCCTAAGCACCGCAACGATATGACCGAGGTGGAATATGGTGGAGGGGGGCACCGCACACGGCTAAGGAACGATCACGAAGATCAACTTGTGTGTCTAGAGGTGCCCCCTTCTCCGTATATAAAGGGGGGGAGGAGGAGGGGGCCGGCCAAGGGGGTGGCGCACCCTAGGAGGGGGAAACCTACTCCAAGTAGGTTTGCCCCTCCCTTTCCTAGTCCAAGAAGGAGGGGGAGGAAGGAGTGGGAGAGGGGAAAGGCAAGGGGGGCGCCGCCCCCCCCCCCCTTCCTTGTCCTATTCGGACTCAAGGGGAGGGGGCGCGCCTCTTGCCCTAGCCGGCCCCTCTCTTTCTCCACTAGGGCCCAACAAGGCCCATTAGTTCCCGGGGGGGGGTTCCGGTAACCCTCCGGCACTCCTGTTTTCTCCGAAATCACCCGGAACACTTCTGGTGTCCGAATATAGTCGTCCAATATATCAATCTTTATGTCTCGACCATTTCGAGACTCCTCGTCATGTCTGTGATCACATCCGGGACTCCGAACAACTTTTGGTACATCAAAACATATAAACTCATAATGAAACTGTCATCGTAACTTTAAGCGTGCGGACCCTACGGGTTCGAGAACTATGTAGACATGACCTAGAACTGTTTCCGGTCAATAACCAATAGCGGAACCTGGATGCTCATATTGGCTCCCACATATTCTATGAAGATCTTTATCGGTCAGACCGCATAACAACATACGTTGTTCCCTTTGTCATCGGTGTGTTACTTGCCCGAGATTCGATCGTCGGTATCTCAATACCTACCGGCAAGTCTCTTTACTCGTTCTGTAATACATCATCTCACAACTAACTCATTAGTTGCAATGCTTGCAAGGCTTAAGTGATGTGCATTACCGAGAGGGACCAGAGATACCTCTCCGACAATCAGAGTGACAAATCCTAATCTCGAAATACGCCAACCCAACAAGTACCTTCGAAGACACCTGTAGAGCACCTTTATAATCACCCAGTTACGTTGTGACGTTTGGTAGCACAAAAAGTGTTACTCCGGTAAACGGGAGTTGCATAATCTCATAGTCATAGGAACATGTATAAGTCATGAAGAAAGCAATAGCAGAAAACTTATACGATCAAGTGCTAAGCTAACAGAATGGGTCAAGTCAATCACATCATTATCCTAATGATGTGATCCCGTTAATCAAATGACAACACATGTCTATGGTCAGGAAACATAACCATCTTTGATCAACGAGCTAGTCAAGTAGAGGCATACTAGTGACACTCTGTTTGTCTATGTATTCACACAAGTATTATGTTTCCGGTTAATACAATTCTAGCATGAATAATAAACATTTATCATGAGATAAGGAAATAAATAATAACTTTATTATTGCCTCTAGGGCATATTTCCTTTAGGTAGCACACAAAGTGTTCCTCCGGTATTCGGGAGTTGCATAATCTCATAGTCTGAGGAACATGTATAAGTCATGAAGAAAGCAGTAGCAATGAAATTGTAACAATCATAATGCTAAGCTAACGGATGGGTCATGTCCATCACATCATTCTCCTAATTATGTGATCTCGTTCATCAGATGACAACACATGTCTATGGTTAGGAAACATAACCATCTTTGATTAGCGAGCTAGTCAAGTAGAGGCATACTAGGGACAATATGTTTTGTCTATGTATTCACATATGTACTAAGTTTCCGGTTAATACAATTCTAGCATTTATCATGAAATAAGGAAATTAATAATAACTTTATTATTGCCTCTAGGGCATATTACCTTTACACTGCAGCTGACCAAGTGGACCATGGCGTCAGAGGGCCATCTGGACTGCTGACAAGTGGTAGCAGAAGCAGAGCAGCGGCAGCGCACGTTGAGAGTTGTTCTCACCGGAACTGATTGCAGCGGCGGCGGCAGGCAGGACTGGGAAGCGAGAGGGGTAGGAAGAGAACAAAGAGGAAAGTATGTGAGGCTCACAAGTGGGACACCTAGCCACATCAACGCATTGTGCACATAGGCATGCCATATAAGTCTAAGAGCATCTCCAGCCGCGCCCCCAACACGGCTGTCCGAGGCAATTTTTTCGCGTCGGCGCCGAAAAAACGGCCCAGTCGCGCCCCCAGGAGACCGTTTTTTGCCGGTTTGGGCCGAAATTAGCGCCGGCTGACCCAGGCCAAACCCCGCGCGCTGGGGGCGCCCGGGGGCGCCGTGGCGAGTGATTTTGGTGCAAAAGAGCTACGGGCCCGCTGAGTCAGCGACGCGCGCCTCGTCGTCCTTGGAACGCCTCGGTTTCCCACGTGGAATCAATGGCAGGGCTGCCGCCGGTCAGCCTTGCCATTGATTCCTGATCACGGGCGGCGCGGTGATGCCTCCCCTCCCACCACGCGTACACACGGCACGGGGCTGTAAAAACCAGTGCCTCCCCCTCGCCTCTGGCCACACCAACCCACAGCTGCCACCGAGCTCTGCCTCTCTCCCCGTGCGCAGCCGCTCGCCGATGTTTCTTCCCTCCTCTCTCTCCTCAAGCCCATCCGATGGCCGCGTGATTCCCCGGTGACGCGACGGCGGCCAACGGCTTCGGCCGTTGCTCGCTCCACGAGTGGGAGGCCTACCTCTTATTCGAGCCAAACATCCCGGCGCCACCGGACATGCGCGCCGGGCCGACGGGGTGGAGGCTCAGCAACGGGGGTGTCCCCATTCCCCTAGTGCCCGACGGCGAAGCGCGCCCCGCCATCTTCGCCTCTGAGGTCGACTGCGTGTGGGCGTCCCTGACGGAGGAGCAGCGCGCCCTCCCCCAGTATGCCGCCGACAACCACGCGTCGTGGGCGGCGTACTTCCAGCACCGGCAGGCGCAGAGGCTTTCGTCCACCAACGGGGCGCCGGAGGTGGGGGGTGTCAAGAATAGCGAGGGGCGCCGCGTATGGTGGGCCGTCCCCGGCCGCACGCTCCATGATGTGCTGGAGTACCTCGAGGGCGGCAATGACCCGCCGCTGGCATACCCTGTCACGGTGGCCGCCCCGATCCCCCGCCGGAGCGCCAGGCAATGGATGCCCAGGAGGTTCGGCTCCTCGACTTCCTCCTCTCACTCCCCCTCCCGCTCCTCTTCCCATTCTTCCGGCTTGCCGGCGGTGTTCGGCGTCAAGGCAGCGCCGGCATCCTCATCAATGAGGGCGGCCGGCGCGCCTCCTCCTCGGCTCCTTCGCGCTACGTCAAACCGAAGATGGAGCTGGGGCTCACCGCCGTGAAGACGGAGCCCGAGCTCGGAGGCGGCGTCAAGGAGGAGCTCGACGACGCGACAACCTTGAAATGGGCGCGCGATGACTGGGCGCGCATGGAGATGGAGCGCTAGTGCCGCCTACTAGCAGTTCAAAGTTTGGCGCCGGGGCCACGACGAGGGAGGCGTCGTCGTCCTCGACGACAGCGACGACGACGCGCCGCCGCCATCGGTCCGCCAGGGCGATGCCGGGCAGGGGTCCAGCAGGGGCGACCGCGTCAAGGAGGAGAAGGCCACCGACGACGACGGCGAGGATGGCAGCGACGTCGGCGACTTCGCCGCGCTTGTCGACTTCTTCGGCCCTTAAATAGTTGTAGTTGCGGCCTTTTTTAAAATAAATTTGCTACGGAATGTTGAATATGTCGAATATATGTCCAGTTTGCCGAACTTTAGCCGAATAATTTGTCCAATTTGCCGAACTTTGCCGAATACCCTTTTTTTAAACATAAACGGCGTCTCGGGGGCGGCCCGAGGGCCTGCGGCTGGGAACCCGCTCACCACCACACCCGTTTTTAGCGCCGGCTCGCCCCCAGACGGCGATTTTACGCGCACTCTGTGGGGCCAACGGCTGGAGATGCTCTAACAAATGGGTCAAACCGGTTAGTTTTGCTCTTATACCACATTAATCTTTGGATTAGTGTGATTTGTTACTCGCTTGTGCCGTAGAAGTGGTGTTCTTTTATGTTATTTTTTTTACAAAAATTATGGGTTACCCTGGACACAAATGTGTGCTTTGAGCTATAGCTGGCCAAACGGGCCGGCCCGGCCCGGCCCGGCACGGCCCATCCTAATCGTGCCTGGCACGGCCCGGCCCGCCAAAGCACGATTATTATACGGGCCGTGCCGTGCCGGCCCGCGTGCTGCAGCCTGCAGCCCAGGCACGGCCCAATTAGTAAACGGGCCGGCACGTTGGCCCGTTTAGCACGGCGGGCTGCATAATTTTAGCCTGTTATTTGACGCACTAAGCGTTTTTTAGCCTATTTTTATATGTTGGGCCATATATATATGTATAAAAAAATAAAAATAAAACGTAATCGGGTCGTGCCGTGCCGGCCCGCGTGCCCAGCCTCTAGGCCCAGGGCGTGCCGCGTGCCTGGCCCGGCCCGTTTAGCCCGTGCCGTGCCGGCGTGCTCACGGGCCGGCCCGAAAAAACCGGCCCATTTGGCCAGCTATACTTTGAGCCATTTACTAGATCCAAGAGAAAGCTCCCACGCACACCGTTGTCCGCCGCCACCACCATGCCCATCGCCCCTTCCGATGAGTTCCGCCGCCCCTTCTGGGTCCTCCTCCACATCCATGCCCACGCCCGCCGTAGTCGCAAGAGCGCCGCCGCCGTGGGCCGGGGGAGGAACAATGAGATACTACTTGCTTCCCTCCTCCCCAATCACCCGCCGACCCCCTCCAATCTGTACCTGTACCGCAAAAATGGGCCTTTCGGAGATACGCCCTGCGTGCTCTCCATGGTGGACAACCTCATCCTCTTCCACGCATACACCGGGCCCGAGCTCCGCTTCCCCCCGACACGGCTGTGCGACTTCTTCGTCTACCGGGCCGACCCCAACGAGCCGTCTCTCAAGCTACTGCCGCACCCTCCATGTTCCGTCGACAGGGATGATCCGTTCGGCATCTTCCCCCGAGGGGACAAGCACTACACCATCGCATCGCTGGTACCGAGCATATCCTCTGCCTACGATCACGTACTCCACCTGTTCGACTCCGAGACCCAGATTTGGAGCAGAAAAGATCTGATTGTTGAGTCGGCACAGGCGAGCTTTCCGGTTGATACCCCCGTCAGCACCAAGCGGATCTTATCCCAACACCATACATCCACCGTGATCACTCTTGCAGGCGCCATTTCGTGGGTTGACCTCTGGCGCGGCATAGTTTTCTGCGACATGCTCTCGGAGAATCATGCACTCAGCGGTGTCCCACTGCCACTGCCACAGATCACAGGACCTGCAAGGCATTACCGTGGTATCGCTTTGCTTGGTGGATGCATCAGGCTCGTTGAGGTGGATTCTGAAATCGTTGATCTCCCGGACACTTGTGATGAAGAAACCGGGTGGGCTATTGGCCGAACAGAGAACTGGACGATTACCACTTGGATCAACAAGAGTGACAAGGACGAGCGTAATTCTTATGCTGCTTGGAACAAGGTGACCACGCTTTGAGCTTCCGACATCATCCTCGGTGACCACTCCCTGAAGCTGCCGATAGGGTTGCAGAACCTTTTTGTTTCTGACCCAGCTATTAGCATGGATGGTGGTGATGGTGATATTGTTTACCTGACGGCCAGGCAGAAATATATGCATCCCAAGTCGTGGGTTCTTGCTATTGATACGAGGAATTACAAGGTGCAAGATATAGCTTACTCTGGCCATCTTCTTGTCGGAATGCCGCGCATAGATGGAAACTACTGCACTTGTAGTATCTCCAAGTAGTGTACTCCAACAATCCAGCAGGTAATTATTACGTGATACCTGCTACTGACTAATTGATTTCATATTTTAGGCCGTTCACCATTTCTTTTGGAACAGCTAGTAAGAAACTAATGTAATTGGTTAGGAGCACTGAGTATTTAACTGGATCTTTTTATATGGCTATGCTACGCATTTCAGACTTTTGCTTGTTTTTCTCTTGTTTGGCTGACAATGATATACTGTATGCAAGTATGTGAATATGAATGTATTATACATAAACTATCTAGCTGCTCAGATGATCCTAACCAAATTAGTTTTTTCTTTGTTTGTTCTGTTCCTTCAAGCATTTAACCTCCAAGAGTTTACTCTGTTTCATTGGATGCAGTATCAGGTTGGACTTAAGGTGCTGAGCAATCAAGTTGGCTTGGAAATAAATGAAAGGCAGCATTTCTGTAAGTTCAGGGAGGTTGAGATTGAGCAATGCATGCCTCTATCAATTGCTAGATTCTAAACAATCTAATGTTCTTCCGGTGTGGCTGGACATCATATCTATCCTAAGTAGATCATGCCCCAGGTCATTTTCATGCTTCCCTAGCGTAGCACCGGCACCTTGCTACTACACCAAAAGGAGGCAGTTCAGAGCTGATTTCGACAAGTTCGTGCACCACATGCTCATCGTTGATGACCAGCACAGCTGCCCGATGCACTTGTTCGTTCGACAGTAGATGAGGGTGTTGTTCGACAATACATGTGCGGATGTGCCGGTGGAACACCATGGTACAGGGCGTCCCCCGCGCCGGCTGCACAAACGGCGGATGGCTTCTGCTGGGTCAGAGAACGTCTCTACACGACCCTTTTCTCAGCATGCGAGCATATACTACTACCAAAATACATGGCGCGGCCAGGATCCCAATTAAGAGCAAACGGCAGCCGATACCATGAGCAGGCGAGCTCGTGCGCTTTACGGATTTTCATCCAGGATCAGGCTTTTTAAAGCTGGACCAATCGATGAATGCCCGGGTCTATTATAAACTAAAATCTCACTCTTCTTCCTCACCCATGTCTATCTCACCTTCGTCATGCTTCCGGTGCTACCGTCATCCATGGTCTAGTGCATCGCCACTCCACTTATCAAATTAAGCGGAAAACCTTGTTGCTCGGGCATTGTCGGATATTTAATTTTATCTTTTGCACCCAGGACGATTGCAATTTTGAATTTTTGGGCGATGGCAATTGAAGAAGCAGCCAAGTGACTGTCAGCACATGCAATACTTTTACTTTTGTTGTGGTTACAAACCACACACCAATCAGCAATCACCAGACGAAAAAGTAAAATAAAAATTGACGCAATGCACTAAGCAACACGGTCTTCCACTTGATAATTTGATATAAGTACAGCATTCAGACAAACTTATACACTACATAAATTATTCCGTCCTTGTCACAACAGCTGATGCATACACACATATAGATATGCCTCAGCTTGTTTTGTCATGCATACATACAGAGTAGCTAAAAGATGACAAATGAAGCAGGAATCGCCGAGCGGACTTTGAGGCATCTGTCTTGTGGAATATAAGTGACGGCGCGTCTGCTTCTGCCGTTGTCATCCATTGATGCCGTCACTGCCGGCTCATTCAGATAAGCATAAGTGCTTTTTTTCCACCTGCACCCAGTTGGAGAAGATGGTGGGTCTGTCATATCATAATCCACATGTACTACCGCCTAATTAAATACGGCACTAAGAAGCTTCTCCGTGGACGCTAAAGCATGTGTAAGAAGATAGATTCCACGAGAAATAAATTTTTAGCTAGCGTGTGGTATGCTTGTAGTATGAGTATGGCCCGTAATGCCTTTTATTTTCCACCACCTATGTCGTATACTTCTTGGCCATACGTTATTGTGCTGGTACGGCATTGTGAGCTGTGACAGGGCATCCAACTACGGGAAAGGATTGGATGGGGTGGGACACGGATTGTTTTCCACATCGCACTGGCTATACCAGTATACAGTTTCAGAAAAAATGGGCTGAAAGTACTTTTCAGAAGAGAAAAAGGACGCACTCTCGGTGCTAGAATTGCTACAGGAAAGTTGTGAGAAGAGGTTACCAGTGCTTGATCCCAATCCGTAATTCGGCGACCCTGCTGGAAGCTGCCACCATCATTCTGTTGCCGTTGATGCCCTTGTCACCTTCGTTCCCCTCCTCGAGAATCTCCCTTATCATTTGCTCGAAGAGCATATAATCTTCCATCTGCTTTCCAAAAAATCAGTCATTCCAAACATTTCTAACCACACGTTCTCTTAAAATCAAAGCCAGAAGTTTCATGATCGTAACAGGGGAAATGAGATAACAGAGCTTTTGTAGTTTTCTTCAGCTGACAAGGAGATCAGCGGCAGGATCTGACCTTGAACAGATAATGGAGAAAGAAATTACAGTTGATCAGCAGCAGGGTTCTGACCTTAAGCGTCTTGGCTTTGGCTCTCGCGGCCTCCTTCTCGGCGGCGAGGCGGCGCTCCTCCTCCTTCCTCCTCCAGAACCCCTCGATCTCTTTCCTGGTGATGCTGAACGTCATCTTCCCTGGATCGCCGATTTGGTAGCGTCCCTCCTCTTCTTCTTCCTAGGTGGAGTGTTGAGACGACTGAGGCGCAACAGGGACGCGCAGGGTCACCTCATATATACGCACTTCGGGTGCGGGGTCCTGCGTCACCTACGGAGCAAACCTAGTCTCAAGTCGGAAGTCATATGGGCTACAGTGGATGTGAGAATGATAGGTTGGGGGGGTTGGGTCCCGTTGCGTCTACTCTTCTCAACCATCGATGGCCGGCCGCCCATGGGTTTTGCAGCTTGTGCTTTTTTATGTGTCGTTAGTTGAGTCAATGCCTTGTAAACTAATGCGGACAAAGTGGGGAAGATAAAGTTACTTTGAGGCTTGTGGCAAAGAATAAGACCGGGTCTCGGGGTCTGTGCCAACAAGCAAGATGATCGCCGTCATTTCTAAATGGTTAGATGGAGCTGGTAATCTTGACAAACAAGTGGCGTTACACAAGGTGATTCCTTAACTTTGACTGCAAGTAATCACATCACATGCCCCTTCTTGTTTTTGTTGAGTGCTGCCTAAGCTTCACATGAACATTTTTTTTAGCTTTTTTAAAAGGGAAATGCACTTTTTTTTTAGCTGAGCTTCACAGGAACTGGTGTCTCTCTCTTTGGTGAAAACGAGACTTTGTAGGAGTTCGTGGGTTTTTTTAGCAAAGGGGAGTTTTATATTTTGAGGAATAGAATGGGAGTTTGGTGGGGGTGCAGCTAAACCTCGCTTCTAGCGAGAACGAGATGGGTCGGCCCAGGCGCGCAAGAGGCCACAGCTTCGCTTTTTAGGTTTTTTTTTTTCACGTTTTATGTTTTTGTTCTTTCTTTCTTCTTTTTAATTTCGTTTCACTTCAAAATATTGTAAATAAATATATTACAAAAAACACTTTACATAAAACATTTCAAAAAAAATGTTAACCAAGTAATTGAAAAATATTAAATGTGTATACAAAAACTGATTCTCATGTATATGAAAAATGTATACAAAAATACAATGTGTGTGAAAAAAATTGACCATGTACTTAAAAAAGTTCAATCAATCGTTTGGAAAAATGGTAAACAAGTATTTTTTTAAATGTTAATCAAGCATTTAAAAAATATTATGTCTGAATAGAAAAAATGTCGACCATGTATTCAAATATTGTTAATCTTGTATTTTCAAAACGTTATCAAGCATTTGAAAAAATGTCAAATGTGTATAGAAAAAACGCTAATCAAACATTTGAAAAGATGCTAAATGTGTATATAAAAAAAATTAATCATGTATTAAAAAAAATTAATTTGCTCTTGAAAAAGTGTTGATCAAGAATTTAAAATATATTAAATGTGCGGAGTAAAAATGTTGACCATGTATTCATTAAATGTTAATCATGTATTTAAAAAAATGTTAAACCTGTATTATAAAAATGTATTAGATATATACCAAAAATGTGTATAGAAAACAGTGAAAACCCGAGAAAAAACGAAATAAAACTGATGAAAAACAAGAAAAGAAACAAAAAAACCAAAGAAAAAGGAAAGAAAAGAAAAAAGTGAGTGAAAAGCGAGAAAGAAACAAAGAAAACTAAAGTAAAATAAAAATAGTGAAAACACAGAAAGAAATGAAAGAAAAACCAATGGAGAAACCAGAAAAAAAAACCCACTAAACTACTGGAAAACTGACTCGTTTCCTTCAAGTTGGTTGCGTCGTACAAATTTAACACGAACCTGACGGTGCCTCGGTGGCTAGCAGGGCTACACGGCAACAAGGAGATCGACTGATCCCAGCGCGCTCGCTTTTTCTACTCTATTTCTTTGAAGTATGCTATTATACGTCGGCCCATTATTGTAGACGCTTGTGGCGAGAATTCCTACTGTCTCGCTATAAGTGAGATGTAGCTCTTGCGGTTTGGTGGTGCCATGGGCGGACCTAGCATGTAGCCAAGGTGGGCCTTGGCTCACCTAGGATTTCTAGAAGAGGAAAAAATGTGTTTGTTATGTATTAATTGAGCAAAAGCTCACTAATGACTGAGCGCTTGAGCCCATAACCAGCCCACTGCCCATGTCTGTCTCCCATCGTCGTCCAAGTCATTGTATTCCTGAAAGTGCATCTAGGCCCCTAATAACATTTCGCGTGGATGACACAATTATATGAACCGATGTGTTCGCAAGTGAATTGTCAGGT